AACTGTTGAGAAATTCAAAGCTATAATGGGAACTGTTCTTTTAATTTTCATGTAAGTTGCAACTTGAGTTGAGGAGCGATTTCGAACCACTTTTTTGCGGGGAACTGAGCATTCAACGATTGTATGTTTTAATCTCAATGAGGCACATAAAGCCATCGTTTGGGTCAAGGTATTTTTCAAGATATTAAAGGAGCATTTTTAGAATAGAGGAATGAAAACGGAATTGTAATGCTAGAATCTTATAGAGTAGTTCAATAAACAAAATACTCAAGAGTCTTTAATTCGTCAGTCAATGTGTGCCAATATAGGTTATAGCAAGTTAGTAACTCGGAACTGACACCCAGACACAAAGAGGTATTATTTTTTTCAACAGACAAACGTCATGATAACGAACCTGGTAAATATTATACATTATTACGGGCTGCGAGCAGCACTGAGGGGTGAAGAAATAAAGCAACAATCGATACTCTCTTTATTGACATGACAAGCGGCAGCCGAGCACAGAAGGGACCAGGTCTCGTCCAGTTCCCATGCACCCGCGTCTCCTACAAGCGACCAAGGAATAAATCTCAATTTTACTAGGGAATGACAGTGAGTAGCCTTCAGGTCGACACAGAGAAGCTAAAGACTAGAGATAATATACTGATAAATTGTATACAATTAAATCTTAAGGGATACGAAATGGATGGCTTTAGTGTTCAAGGCAGTTTGAAATTAAGATAGCATACCTAAAGCTCAGCGCTAGAACCGTACCAAGTCGTTACAACGTTGATGACTTGATTGCATAATAAAAAAATGCGGCTGAATAAGGAAACGATAACTGAAGCAAATTAAAAAACAACTAGATGCAATTTTTGTAAGGTTAAGAAACTTGACCAATTACACAAATTCAACTGGAGCCAAACAGATTAATGTAATCTGCATTAGTCAGCGAGGCAGGCACTTGAACAACAAAATAATATCAATCTGCTTGACTCTCACACCATCACTCCTCACTCAACACGAGTGAAGGGAAGCTAGCCGGCACACCGCTCCACTCCTGTCACATCCACACCTCCACTGTCACACTATTTGAAATGCCTGTTATTGTTGGTCCACGAACACCATACATGATCAACTGTGAAATAGACCGTTCTTCTCCGTGTTCCAGCACAGTGGCAGGGTGGATGTGATGTCATCAGAGGACTTTCCAAGCCTCATTAGAAATGTGAAGATGGACTGGGTGGTGAAGACACAGAACAGAGCTGGTGCCATCACCGCACTGTAGTAGAAAATAGCACTACCCTTGCGGTGATGGGTCTTGACGAGTGATGGGGGCTTTCAGGCTAGATAGCGTCCGAGCACCGACCTCAACAAGGCTCAACTAATTTGGAAATGAGAGTGGTAAAAATCCAGGTACATAGCAGTAAAGAAAGAAGAAAATAAGATATGAACAGGTAGATAACTCTGTAACACGATACTCGAGTTAGGCTAAGGACGGAAACATCGACTACTACAAGCTTCTGCGCCATACAAGTCACTCACACCTATGCGTTCCATTCGCTCGGATTCTGTATTCTTAGTACCGCTGCAAAAATTGGAAGGCAAATAATAGCTTTTTTGTTCCAAGAAAAGGATCTGATATAACATATATGAAATAATTTCAATGAGAAGTAAATAAGGTAGCGCATTGCCTCATTTTATCAATAAAGACAGGATATAATTTAGATGTTCAGAATCCTGAACTAGTTTGGCTGATAGCCCTCGCGCTGCCATTGCTCCAGAACGCACACATGAAAGAAACGTGCAAAGATTTCCAACCCAGGAGCGTGAGCCTGAAAATGTGAGCAAATGCAAAGAAAATTATCATGGAGCTTCAAATGTAGTCGATGATAGGATCGGTACATTCGGTACACATCTTCGAAATTTCATATTTTGTCACCTGTGATTAATAACCAATTGATTTTTATTAATTCCTCTTTTTTTAAATATTGAATTTTCAGTAGCAAAAATCTGACGATACGATAAGTTAGTAATGCAAAAATCTATTGCAGCCGCAGATTGAGTGGTCACTTACACAGCAAATATAAATGATCTAGTACGCGTTTGAGAAAAATAACAGAAGATTATGCGGGCGACGACGGCCCCAGATATTATTGCTTTCTGTGCGCACGCAGCAGGTGCCTTAGGGTACGCACACAGTGAAAGCAGGTTTGCCCGCGCGGGCAACCTGCTCCAACCTGCCACAAGAATGAACATAGGATAATAATGTAAGTGTTCACAGTGAAAACCTGTACGAACAGGCTTCTGTGTTCTATGGTTTCAGGCGCCAGCCTGAGCAGGTAACCAGCACGCTGGCAACCTGCTTTCACTGTGTGCGTACCCTTACGCTGGGCATTGATGCACTTCAAGCAGCGACCATCGCTGCAGTGAATGCAAGGGAGATGCACGGGCGATCAGGTGATGTAAGTGACAGGACTCGTTTATTTGTAATAATTACCTTCAACACGTGGTGCAAACAGAGGCAAACAAAATGAAGCAAGAACAGGCAAAAGATATAAATATGATCTAAAGCAAAGGGTCAATATAATTAAGGGGAAAGCGACAAACTCGTCATTCACCCTCCACACACTCACAGTCTTAGACCTAATAACACCACAGACATTCCTAAACAGCACAGACACCAATCAGGATGTCGTCTGGCATCAAATCGTCTTCTTGACATCGCCTGTAAATTATCCTGTCTAAATAGGGATTTAGTGTCTTTTTAGAGCTTCAACATGATTTCTTACTATTAACAAATCAGCTGGAAGTGAATTTTCCCTACCAAAAACTTCAAGAAAAACCTGCAAGAGTTTGTCACTGAGTTTTATGGGAGTCGCGATGGAAAGCCAGGCAGGAGGTAGTATATGACAGCCGAGCAAGAAAGTGAGATCCAGCAGCAAATAATAAGTTGGCAAACCGAGTCAGGGGTTTTCTCCAAATACCTGGACTCTTCTGTATCTCAGAGACTTAAAAAAGTTACATCATTGTTATATAAACAATTCCAGTTACTAGGCAACATTTTCCAGTTTATAGAGGTTGTTAACTCCGCAAATTCTCACCAATTTAGAAGAACTGCCAACTAGGAACAGGTTCAAACTTCCTCAAGCAAGTGTCACTATTGCAATAGACATATCTTGGTCCGGCTAAGATCCAAGCAAGCGAAGTTGGCAAATTTAAATATATTTCAAACTGCACGGTCAACACTCCCTCTGGCGGGTACAAGCGCAAGGTCAACATTTGTTTGCCTTATTGTACTAGGTTACGAAAATGTACGGGTGCAGGAATAAGCAAGATTTACAATCTTTAATACCGTTTTATGAGGCCAAACTCCAAAGTTCAACGGCCGCTCACCTGGAGGTGGAAAGCAACACGCTGGAAGCTCACAGAACTGAGCATCTACACTAGGCAAGCCTACGTCAGGTACACCTATCACTCGCAAGCAAAGCTCAACATTATTTTATTAATTGTCCCTAAAAATACCTTCAGATATCGTCGGAAAACACATCAAATTTGACTCAAGTTGAAAATGGAGTACGTCGAGGCATACAATATACAATAAACTCTCCGAATGTCAAATTTTGGCAGAAAAAATACAGAACTTAGTGACACTAATAGTCGATCAAGATTTATCTCCCTTCAAATTTTAATTGATAACAGCCCAACTTAATGGCCCGCTTAAATATAGCTTGTATGAACAAAATTTTTTGCCATATTATTTAAGAAAATAATCATGGTATTCCTTTATCTATTAACATGATATTTGAAACCTGATATAAAATGCACACACTGCTAGATGCTCGGGACATCCAAGCTACGAGATATGGTAGCAAAAAAGCAGCGCTTCAGAAGTTCAGCCTAGAGACCAACAGGATTCACGAAGTTCCTAACGCAGGAAGAGTAGTCCTCATTCCCGTGTATCCTCTAGATTATACATTTAAAATCTTTGGTCAAGTCCGAGATTAGTCATAGACTTTAGTGCTCACTCAGTGTGTGCCGATTTTGTCATCATCAAAACCTCGTTTGTAAGTCAGAGAAGAACTAACTTCTGAGTTCCAAATGTAATCCAGTTGAGGGAACTAACTAAGCTACAGAGTTGCGATGATCGTAAAATGAATGCACATCGTATTTCTATTTCAAGCCAATTAACCGATGGAAAAAGCAAGAAGCGTCAGGAGGAGTAAGAGCAGCATGCGATGCGTAGTTCTGAACTCCATAGCAAGCACATAAAGAGCTTCTCATTAACGCTACCAAGCTTATTGCTTTAATGCTGTGACAGCCAAAGCGTTGTACATGAGAAGCATTACAACTTTCGACACACAAGCAAATCTTTTAGTTTAACATTGATACGTGACGTTCTAGCGCCAGGCGAAGCACGGTCCCTGTAGAGTACCGTCAGCAAGTTCAGAATTAAAATATTTTCTACAAGAGAATCAATAAAATTTCTTGGCAATGAATTTTCAGAGTGCAGTACAACTTGAATATATGTGCAAACATACTTACAGCGCTCACGTTTTACGTTGAGAAAAACAGGAGAAATATTATAATATCCTTCAAGAGTGACACCATTCAAAACTTTGGAGACCGACAAATTCAACTGAAAAACATAGCGACAGTTTTATTTTTGAAGCGCGACGGATAAGCGTTACGTTACCACTCGTACCACGCATGACGTCATGCCATCAACAGCTGTTAAATGAAGATGTCACTCGAGTGTGGAAGCTGCAACAATTTGGAAGATGTGATGCTTTGGTCCCGTAAGTGTATTGGTGTACAGCATGGATGGGCATGAATTGATCCCGTACAATCTTATTTGGTCATTTAAAACTGTCTTAACATTCGGCTGGATACAGAAGCCCTATAATCTGAGGCAGTAAATTGCCACAAAAAAAAAAAAAAAACGTTTTCGCTCTTAACCAGATTACAATGGAGAGTCCAAAAATCTGCTACGATGCCACATTAGTTGCCCATCTTTAACGGACACACAAACATAATTAAACTCATTACCAATAACTATTTATAACAAAAGTGTTAGCATTAAGCCAGTCAAAAGCAGTCGATTCAAGTTTAGCAGGGTAGGAAATTTATCTAAAGTCGATCGAAGTTTGAACACCCTGGAACTAGCATACATCGTCAAAAAAAAAAAAAATATATATATATCAAAATCTTATATAGCAGCAAAGAGGTAATTTTCTGAACTTTACAACGGAATCTCGGAATTGGAGTCGCACAAAAAATGAAATCTCATAAAACTTAATAGTCAAGGATGGCGACTCCAGCAAGGTTTTCAATTCTGTCTAGGTAAGCAGAATTGCTGGCATGCAATTGGTGTTTCGTCCTGAATTTCAGCTAGAAAACATGGAAGACAAAATTTATGAAACGCCATTAGCAAATTGTATTATATGGAGTTTTATTATTATTATTATCATTATTTCTCATTCATCAATATTTTAATTTTCATCATGATACGACTAAAAAACGAATCTTAGATTCATTTGTCTCATCCGTTTCAAAAATCCAATATAATTTTTGCATCATATTCTCTTCCAAAACAATATAAATAAACATTGCAAATTAATATCTTTCAGTTTCTTTCCATGTAACGAATCAACAATATGAGTGACACGACTGCTATCGCCATAACACATAACAACTTCACAGGGAAGTGACAGTTGCTGATGCAGTGGTGGTGCTGGCTACAACGCCCTGCTCTGGGGCACAGCGTTGAAAAGGTCGGTGGATGGAGGGCATGATGTCATCATCTTCGGCCCACGGGCGTCTATTGTTCGCTGTCCTGCTGCCCTCACTACCTATCTTATAGGGGTTGGGCAGGCTAGGCTTGCAGTTTGATAATAATGAATTTCTTTGCACGTCTATTTGAGTGGAACGGTCGCACTCTGCAAGGCTGTCGAGGATGTATGGTATAGACTTGTCATTGAGGCAGGACTTCGAAAAAATGCCATTGTCGTGAGTTTTATTGTTTTCAAATGCAAGTAAATCATCATTGAAATAATCAAAATGACTCGTCAATCTGGCAAGCAAATCAGTCGACACTTCTAATGGAGAAAATTCATCCAGCTCGATAAGAGGCGAATCCAGTATTGATTCTGCAGGATCTGCATTATCTTTAATAGGAGAGTTATTATCAAATGTCTGGGCTTGTTTGCTCTTGGTCTCAATGGAGGAACACTGAGTTGACACATCAGAGGTAGACGGAGGAGTTCTTGAAGCAGACGCATTGCAGCAAGTATCCTGACAGACAAAGCTTGAGGCAAATTTGGCTTTCAGATGACTGTGTTCATTGAGATGGCGAGGAGAAGATGAACAACTGAAGCCACTCTCGCAGCTACTGGAAGTGTTGCTAAGCAGCGCACACGAGTTAGGGGTGGAGGGTGACCCTGAGTCAGTTTGGGAGGATTTCTTGCCGCCTGAAATCCAGTCCCACGATTGTACACTGCCAAGGCTGTTGAGCGTGATCTCGGTGCTGCCAAGCTTATGGTCTTGGCTCTTCTTTGTAATACTAGAGTTAACAAGGCTGACATTGGTCATCGAGCTGCATATGGAGTCGTTGGCATTAACGCTGCTGGGCAAGTCGCCAAGACAGGAGTCACTGCTGCTGAGGAGAGACAAACTCTCGCCATCGCTTGAGCTACGCGGGGAACTGCTGCCATGCAAATCCTCCGAGACAAGACACTTGCGAAGCTCACGCTTGTTTTTAGCCACTTTATTTTCTTTAGTTTTATCTCTGTAACCGTCACGTATTTGCTGGCCCTTGCAATAAATGCAAGTGGAATGGACCTTGCCAGACTCGCCTATGTAAGAAGGTACTGTCTGCGTACCTACATCAATCACATTAGAACCCTCAGAGTAAGGACGACCACATATGCACTTGTTCACAGTTATCTTTGACATAGTTTCACTGTTAAAGTGTTCTGTGATCTGAAGCGAGCTTAAATCCACTAGGGAAATTTTTTCCTTATTGAGTGCTGCACTTTTCACCTCAGAGATAGGAGCACACTCATCATTGATCAAATCTATAAGAGCGGAATTTTGAGTTCTAGCGTTACATGGAAAATTTTTTGTCTCAAGTAGAGAAACTACACATTGCCCTGAGGCTGACCCTCTTCTATTGCTACCACTAAAAACACTTGTACCTAAACTTCGAGAAGACGATTCACTTTTATACCCATTATCATAACCAGCAATAGAAATATTATCATTTGAGCATGGTTTTGATTCCTGATCCTTTTCTTGCGAGAAAGAGCAGCTTTTTGAGTATTGGTGCACATCTTGATGCGTGAAGAACGAATTGCTTGCTATTGGTGCGTTGCCTGAAGCAGAAGCCCCTCTACCATGACCTTTTGGTCCACTCTTTTTATTCCCTCCTGGTTTGTTGGCACTATTGGGGGAACTCTCATGAGAAGTGCAGGTGCATGTGGGGCAATGTCTCTGTTCCTTCTGACGTTCCTCGAGCACTGCCGCCATGATGGCCGCTGACACCATGTCTTCTGCTTCCTGCACCTCTTCTTCGTCGGGCGCATCTTCTGCAATTAGGCTCAGTATTAGACATTTTGGTGGAAGAGAATTATCAAGTATTTTATGATTCTATCAAAAAGACACCTAATCTAATACCTATCAATCCACCATTAAACTAGTAGTCTAGTAACTTCAGGGATGTTTGAGCAGTGCACTCTTTGAAGTAGTAATACATGTACTTTCATAAGATAGTCGAGAGTATACCGCACATTACCGTTGCACTTATTGAGGGAGTACACCATGGCAGTGGGCGGGAAGGTGGGTATGGGTACTCTGATCACTTTCATCTCAGGAGCCTTAGTGGCATTGTTGTTATTATTGCGTTGTTGCTGCCCCTCACTCTCCATGCGTACAGCCACCCGCTGCTGGAGGTCAGGGGGCAGCTGTCCAGGCAACACAAAAAAATTAAATGTTGTTTGTTCAGAACAAATTTATTCTATTTCATCATGTAATTCACAGTTATATAAGTTACACAATAATTTTGCATTGAAACCTCATGTTATGAGCTAGCAAGCTTCAAGTCCCATTGAGTAAAATTTCTCCCTTTATAGGTAATTCACAACTTGAAATGAACAAGAATACATTCAAGACAAGTGGATGAGAGGATATGAATTTACTCTTAGCTAGAATCAATATGAGATAGCGACCAAAAATTTATTCTTCATTCTATGATCTTTTCTATTGCATAAAGCAAGGCAATTCAACACTATGCAAGCTATAACAAGCAGGCATAGCCTAAATAAACTCTTTAGATGTTATTATTCATAACCAGTAACTGACACTTAAACCTTAAAAACAACTTTCAAGAGTGAAATTAACCCAGAAGCTTTGTTTAACTCTTTACTTATATATCACAATTTTTTGGTTTACAAACTTGACATTTCCCAGCATCAACACACTAATATGATTAATGATGCCAGAACTATCAGCAAAGTTTTTTTAAACTAGCCTTGACTTAAAATTCTTAAATGTGGTGAACCAACTCAAAATATCCTACATATCACAATACCAACTGCAAATATAATTATTATGAATGAACTAACTTGTAAAAAATATGTATAGTGAGTTCATTCATTTGATGCAGACTGAAATAGAACTTACGGAGTCAATCTTATGCTTGCCATACTGAGAGGAGTTGCACTGCAGGAGCTCAATGGCCAGGTTCAGATCCTGCTGAAGTCTCTCCTGGAAATGTCATTAATAATCTTAGTAAATCTTAAAATATCTAGAAATAAAACGCATAGAGTTGAAGAAATTTTAATTTAAATTCACTAAAAATTACTAATTTTGAAATATATTCAAAGTGCAGCACCTATGAGACTCTAAAAATTGATCATGAGAGAAAAATTATGCCCTGGAATCCTTGTAATAATTCAACCATTTGTCTACAGATACATCAACCTTCGTCAATGATATTTGCATCTAAGGGTCTGGCAACCAGCACTACCATCAGTAAACAATGGGTTATGCAGTTGAAAAATAAATTATAGATTATATATCTTCATTAGGAAAACAATGAAAAAAAAAACTAACATAATTTAAATAAAAATGGTTCACACATGACAAAAGAACCATTAAAAGGAAATAGACATAACCAATTCATAGACAGGCTTCATATAAAAATAATAGAGTGAAATTATGAGATTTAGAAAAAAAATTAGTGTAAAAATCCCACCTTCTCTCCTTTGAGTCTGTGAATGGCAGAGGCAGCAGTGGTGAGAGCAGTGGAAAGTTTTTCTATCTGTTCAGTGAGCGCTTCTTTTTCACTGTGGCTGCGGTCAGCAAGCCTGAGCAGCTTGTCCTCCAGCCCTTGGTTCACTCGCTGCAGCCGTCGATGAGCATCAGCAAGCCTGTTCAAGTGAGTTACAGGATGAAACATTTTACCCAGTTTAAAAATTGAACATTAATAGTATGAAATTTTATTACTCTTCAACTTTTTGAACCCATTCCTTGAGAAAAAAATTCATGATATATACCTGAGATAATTACAATTACAGTACCAGTAAATATTGAGGCATTAATGAAGCAAGTGGGTGTATGATGCTACCTTTTATTTATCAAATAAAAATTGTGAATTCCATCAACATCACTTATACAAACATTAACTGGCAAGGCCAAGGTCAGGATAAGCAGGATAACCATAACAATTTCATGAAGGTTCAGATATATTTCAAGTCACCAGAAGAAGGAGTAATCTTACCTGTGATAGCTGTCCTGCCAGTGGTCAGATGGAGCTCTGAGAGCAGCCATCATTTCAGACACTGGCGGAGATGCACTCATGTTGATAACCCTGCGGCACACATTAAAGCATACACAAAGCTGCCATCTCACTTCTTTCAAGCAACATCATGCTAGTAATGAGCCAAGGTTCAACATAAATCCTGTGAAAGGGAAATAAAAAATACTTAATTTTTCCATTTCATCATTATAATCTGTACAATTATAAATCTTAGAAAAATAGTGGCCAAAAGCAAATTTGGATAGACTTGCGGTCCTGTTTGGCATGCTAAGTTTAGAGATCACCATATTTATTGAGAGAAAAAGAAGAGGGTGAATGGTTAAGGAGGCCTTGCACTAAGGAGTGGAGAAGACTCAGTATTCTAACAGCTTATATAAATAACCAATTTTGCTTGCTATAGTTGGTTACCTATCAGAAGAAATCAAATATTTAAGCAGAGAGCAAATTCAGTCTCAGAGTTGAGTTGCAAGCTGTGATAATATTTGAAAATTTCATAAGGAACAGAAGCAAAATGGCTGATAATTAGTCATGAAGGTCTGTATATAGCCATACATGCTGGTCACTTTGAATGTCAAATGGACAAGAAAATAGATAAATATGCTATGCAATAGAATTATTACAAACTTGTTTTCTCATAAATGCATGAAGTCTGTAAGTATTTAATAAATTCTGGGTTCATACTGTTATTTAAAAAAATTCCATGCCTTTTCCATGACTATCCATGACCATCAATATAATTTTCCAATACTTGTATACGACAGGTTTAGCATGACTGAAAGACTAACCGTGCATATTCTATCATCTTCTACAGTTGATAAATAGCAAAAGTGTAAATGCATAGCTCTTCAAAGGTTGCATGGATCTCAAGCTGCTTCCCCCATATTTGACACATCGAAGTCTTTCAAGCACAATGTACATAATATTGCCATACCTTCATGCTTTGGATGGCAAGCAAGCCAGTCACAATAAGCTTCTATTCATAACCACAAGTCACGAAATTTACATATTCCAGGCATGGTGACGTATAAAGTGGATGCTGAAGATGGAACGCTGCCACTGCAGCTCAAAAAGTTGTCGAATGCAACTGAGCTCAATGACCGAGCTCACATGATTGGTTCTCCAATCAGAATGCATGAAACACAAGACTGTGACACAGTCCCTTGTTTCGATACTGTTGTTGCCGGAAGGCATTATTGCTTTTCTCCTCTCAACTCATCTGTGTCATTAACCAATTTTCATACTCAATGCATCCTCTTGTTTTGTATCGTTTCAGAACAGAGGTAATAATTAAATTCCATTCAAGCCAAGTTTAAGCAAGTAACTAAAATGTTGCCAAGACAGTTAAATGCATCAAGTTAACTCTGCAATACTGTTGGGTGACTGAAGCTCTTCCAGATAATGTATATATATATGTACGTCTTTTTTAATGCTGCATTTTCCACATCTCTTTTAACCATTGCATTATTTATCCGCCTTACTTGAGCACAACCTTACCATAGTCTAGTTAACTTTGTTTCAAGTGTTCATAGACATGATGGCGATGCGGTCCTTGTTTTACCTGTATAACTTTACTTGCATTATTGTGTCTAATCTACTTCCAATGTTGTTTGCTTTGTGTGTTTATTAATAATTAATAATTAATTAATTGCTTTGCGTGTTTATTATGATTTCTGTACCAATAACTCTTGCAATCTAACTTACTGTACTAAATTATCAATCCCTAATTTATTAAATGTTTGTTCATTATTAGGTTATAGCATGATTGCTTCAAATTAATACCGTATCTAAATTCAGGCATGATAGATTATAGCCTGCTTAGCATCATATAGTCACTTTATGCACAGTATCTTTCATTTGTAATTTTTATATCTTTCAGCTCTCTGAGGACCTTGTGCGTCATTGCCTGTCCTGTGCTCCCTATTCCATATCACTAGTTACCAAGCACCAAGTCCCATAGACTTAAAGCACTATACGCAATATTGTCTCTACATTCATCAGCATGTCAGTTGTACTTTAAAAGCCCAGAATAAAACTTAACTCTTCTGACAACTCTTTACTTACACCATTATTAGACCAATTCAGCTTCACTTAAGCGGGTTGCAAGTTAATCCCCCCGCGGCATACACAGGAACATTCCCGTGTATGCCGCGGGGGGATTAACTCATAACCCACTTAAGTGAAGCTGAATTGGTCTAATATGGTGTAAGTAAAGAGTTGTCAGAAGAGTTATGTTTTATTATGGGATTTTAAAATACAACTGACATGCCGATGAATGTACAGAGACAATATTGCGTATAGTGCTTTAGGTCTATGGGACTTGGTGTTTGGTAACTAGTGATTGGAATAGGGAGCACAGGACAGGCAATGGCGCATAAGGTCCTCAGACAGCTGAAAGATATAAAAATCACAAATGAAAGATACTGCGCATAATGTGACTATGATGCAAAGCAGGTCAAAATCTATAATGCCTAAATTTAGAGATTAATTTGAAGCAATCATGCTATAACCAAATAATGAACAAACATTTAGTAAATTAGGGATTGATAATTTAGTATAGCAAGTTAGATTGTAATAGTTATTGGTGCAAAAATTATATTAATAAACACACAAAGCAAACAACATCGGCAGTAGATTTGACACAATAATGCAAGTGAGTTATATAGGTAAACAAGGACCACATCACCATCACGTCTGTAAACACTTCAAACATAAAGTTAACTAAATTATGGTAGGGTTGTGCTTAAGTAATGCAGATAAATAATGCAACGGTTAAAAAAGATGTGAAAAATGCAGTATTAAGGAAAACATATATATATATATATACATTATCTGGAAGAGCTTCACTCACCCAACAGTATTGCAGAATTAACTTGATGCATTTAACTGTCTTGGCAGCATTTTAATTACTGAATTACACTTGGCTTGAATGGAATTTAATTATTACCTCTGTTCTGAAACGATATGAAACAAAAGGATGCATTGAGTAAGAAAATTGGTTAATGACACAGATGGGTTGAGTGAAGAAAAGAAATAATGCCTTCCGGCAACACTGTGGCACAGTCTCCTGTTTCATGCACCATCTTCTTTCTTTGCTGAGGACTCTAATGACATTCCCAAGTCCTGGCCTGAAGACTGAGACAGCAAAGCCCTGACTCAAGACCAATTTTCAAACCTTGATATACACTTTTTGTTAGTTTTGCTTTGGTTTAGTTTGCAGATTATTATTCTGGCTCAGATTAGTTAATTTACCAATTATCATTGTGTACTCTGTTTGGTTAAATCCAGTTTTGGCTGCTGGTTATTTTCTTTTCATTCTAGGTTCACCCCATCACTCACAGCACTGGGCTGTCCCACTTTTACTAACTTGTTAGCCTTCATATTTCATTTTAATGCAGCACTTATTTTATTTAATATATCTTTGCTTTGTTTTGCCCTGGTTTGTTCTACTGAGTTTTGTTTTTTGGGGGGGTTCATAAGCAGGTGGTACATCAGCCAGACCATCAACCTTTGGACCAGGCTAATAACCAATATGTTTAGTCCATACTGTGATAGAGATGACAAAAAATTCAAAAGTATAACTACATATTTTTTGCTTGTCATGAAATGAATTTTTTATGTTTTTGGACTATTTTTATTTTGTATTGACTTACTGCTTCAAACACTGGAAAGAAGACATGGCTTCTAAATGAGAATGTCCTCCATTGAATTGTCTTGTGTTGCATGTCTTTAAGAAAATGCTCCTAGTTTGGAGTTTTTTAGTGATAATCAACCAAATAAGCAAGATTTTGAGGGTTTGGGCATGTGGTAGGTACTATGATGATAATGCATGCAATTCAATTATGATGTTCAATTTAGAACATCCTGCAGTAATATTGAAAAATTTTCTACTGTTTGGGCAGGAATCAGAGTTGGTAACAGGAGCACTAGTTCTTCTGTTATTGCATTCCTTTCACTTAAAAACAAAGACCATAGAAGTAGATTAAATCAACTGCAAGCATGGACATATTTGTTCTATTCATTTGTGGCTTCTGCCCAATTTCCCAGAAAGGAATCCTATGAGTATATCAGTAATCAAGGATACAATATAGTGTGGATAACATCTATATACTTTCTAAGCCATGATGATGAGATATAAGAACCACAATATTTCATAAAAAATGATTTTTTAAATTCTGGATACTAGCACTTTCATATGGATATGAATCATATGATATACCCTACATTTATGTATTAGATCAGGATATTAAAAAAGACCTTGTTTTGTTTGTATAAATTCTCTCATTTGCCATTATAGGAAATTTCCAAAAATTGTAGTTAAAATAGGTGGTTTCACAGACAATTTTTGAAGATTGCCCACAAAATGTTCTATTTCAAATAATTTTTACTGAATAAAGAAGTGGACTTCTTCCCAATTAGGTCCTGGCATGGCAAAAAATTGGAAGTTTCCTACTTTCTTCATACTGAAATTAATACATTCAACACACCTTGAATATAAGTTGAAGGTATTAATTCAATTTTATAAAAAGTATATATTATATATAGGTATAGATTTTATAGTAGGTATCTACTATAAAATCTCTTCAATCAGTTTTAAATTTTGCAGCTTGATTATTGACTTTGTCAAAACTTAGATGGGATATAATTCATTTATCAGGATTCTTAAGGTAACAAAAATGTCAGGAATGTTCTTGTTGCAGCTTAAAAAAACATATATATTATGCCTGCCATTTTGGGGAATGAGGCAGACCACAGAAGCCACCCATGAATGAGGCAAAATACATTAACTGAATGGCAGATTATTGTAAATTTTACCTCTTTTTAAGAACCTTGCTAAGTTCATTTCATAAAAGGTATGAAATATGGCATATTTCTGCCTGATAATGAAATTTTGCAGCTCCAAAGTGACTGATTTTTAGCACATTTTCTTATTTATGGAAAAAATGCAATATTGTGCTCGCCATGTCCGTCTGTCTGTCTGTCCGTCCACTACCTCAAGTTTTTGTTGACGAGAAAATGCGCTCTCTGTCACTCACTGCAATGAGTACTGAGTTATATATTTTTTTACATTTGCAATATCACGTCTTGATCGTGCAGTTCTAGTAACAATTAAATAGGAGATAATTCAACTAGCAGGAATCTTGCAG